CACACACACTCACTCACTCACTCACTCACTCACTCAGAATTGTCTTTTCTCAGCTGCGGCTCCGCGGATTTCTTAGCCTGAGGTAGACCCCACACAGCAACCAGGAAACGACCCAGTAACCCAGCTCACACTGTCCGCTCCAGCAGCGAGTCCCGTCCCGCCAACAAGGCACCCAGACCCCACGCAGCATTCTCATCGGTTTGTCATTACTGGTGTCATTTTCTGGTTGCTAACGCCGTTGTAAAACATAATCACTGATTTTCCGCTGTAACGGTGGTGGACTAATCAGAACAGAGTGGGCGAGCTGACCAATCAGAGCACAATGGGCTCATAGGGTGCAGGAGCTCCAACAAGCCGTTTAGGACAGAGCGAATACACATACTATACAGAGATGCTGTATGAGAAACCAATGTGATTTTGGAACATTAAACAATGTAAATCTATTCTAGTAGACCTCAACAATGGAATTATGATCAGTAGAAATGGCCATGTCATGGGAACTTCAATTCTGTAAGCGTGCTAACATTTTCAACACCAAACACAAGTACAGCTGATGTTGAAGGGAAATTGATTAGTTTAGCAAGTATTTCCTCATAAAATATTAAATATTTCAGTAATTAAATAATTACCTTTTAACCTGATAGTTGTAGTACATTAAAAGTTTGGGGGTCAACCAAGTAAATGTTGTAACAAACGAGGATAGAGTAGGGAACTGGCTTTCATTTCCTTGAATCCATCATAAACCTGCTAAGTTTTTTGCATGGCTATATAGTAAGAGATCTACACAAACAAATGAATATTTACCATCTCTGAGAGAAAGTAAGCTAAAAATATCAGCACCACAGTGTTTGCCTTATAGGCATTTTACAGCGCAGTGCTGAAAGGCAGCAGGGTAGATATCTGCCCTTTCACATTGTACCTCTTAGAACTTAGTTATCCATCATAGGTAGAGCCCATATACTGAACAGTAGCCTACCTTGCTGCAGGGCAAAGGGATGTTTTGTAATGTTGTTCTAAGCAAGTTGTTTTTTAATTGTTAATAGGACTATGCACATTCAATCAGATGAGGCCTATGCATAAGTAAAAGTGGTAACAACAGCGAGCTAATCAGCAGTGTGCATCTTGTTCTCCTGTGGGAAGCCGAGTAATTATGAATGAGCAGAAGAAGGCAAGGCGAGTTTGCTAATTTGCCTTTAGTGCTGAAGATGTTGAGAGAAGTGGAAAGATGTTATTTTGCTATATAATGATCGCAGAAAGGGGGAAGGGTGAGTCATGAAGGCAAGGAAAAATGCAGAAGGGAATATATGGTACAAAATGAATGGCAGCAGAAAAGTGCAGGTGTGGGAAAAGAAGCGAGAAAATGTTTAAACCATGTTCCCATGAGACAAACAACTATTTCAAACAGTGTCTTTGGATAAGGCCGTTGAATATTTGACAGCATATAATATACAAAGGTTTCAGTAATTTCTCTCATGAATGTGGTTAAAGAGGCTTGCATCATGCTTGAGACCCTGGTGTAAAATCTCCAGATGTGGATTCTACACCCACTCGGGATTAGCTGTTTCCTATAGTGGTTTGTGTTCCTGTGGGTGAGGAGTAGCCCCTGCGGTCCATAAAGGCAGCTTTTGGAGGGACCCGCTGTTTGGTGATCTGACCACATTCACTGTGTGGATGTTCAACCTCTGGTACTCTGTTGAGGTCTGCACACAGAGTCTCTCAGACATTCCCTCACGGCAGTGCTCTGGAGATCAAAAGCTCCACATGATGGCTGCCTGACTCCTTTTTGGTGTGAAATCTGTGTGTGTGTATTCTCAGATGTCTTCTGTACATGAATAATGGAGGTGATTCTCACATGTGATTAGTAGGAAAGGCCAAGCGATCCTCTCCGTCCCAACCATTCCCCCCATCTATTACTGCTTTTAACTGCAAATTACAGTACCTGTGGATATGGTTGTCATGGCACCAGAGCGGGAAGTCTCTCATGAGGGACTTTGATGTATAAGTTAGGGCATGTGAGATATGTCTGTGTCTTCCATACACTCAATCTTTTATTTTCACCACTGCTGCTGCGCATATTTCTCTTTCTGCATTTTAAGTTTCCACAATAAATCAACTAATTGTGTGTAGACACTGCATGGTAATCTGGAGAGAGAAACTGTCAATTAACTGAAAATAGTACAACAACATGGCTTAAGGAGTGTGGAGCATTTGTAGGAGCTGACTGCTCACTCACATTGAATCATGTCCCTGTTTTTGCTAGGCTAAAGTGACACTGGCATACAAAACACCTGTCATCATCCATTAGAACAAAAATCGGTCACAGAAGATTCCCATATGATGTACAAATGTATTACAGTATACACAATGTCTCTCGTCACATGCACACGCTCCATAGAAACCTCTCTAACACGTAATGTACACAAGGGGAGAGCAAAATTATGGCATGGTCTCCCATTACATGTGACATTGAAATGAAAATACAGATTTCAGGCATCAATATTTCAACTGGTCTGTGATATGCCTCCAAGACATTTGCTGCATTATTAAGAGCGAGCTGCTTGCAGTTTGAAGTATGTCATGGGTGATTCTCAATGACAGGAAATACTTCGGCACCCAAAGAGACTAGAGCTGCTGCAGATATGTTTCCAGTCTTCATGGTTGTCCTTAAAAAAAGGGTTATATATCCCATTCTGGCTCCATAAATACAATATTACATATTGAATCCTGAAAATCACATCCTGTTCACAAACTTGATTTTCTTTCTCAACCTGATTGAGTTAAATAGACAAAGTAGTTAAGAGTTTCTGAGAAAAAAATAGCAAAAGTTGAAACAGTATATTCAGAATGCACAAACTGTAGACAGAAAGTATTCTTAAGCTTTAAGTAATTGTGCCAAAAATCTCTTCAGTAGCATTCTGTATCCAAATCTCTTCAGCGCTGTGAGGAACGCTGTTCACAGTATGGAATTGAATGCATTATTGATAACAGAACTGCATTTCTAATCCGGCCCTGTTTAAAATATCTGTTCGTGCTATCAAATTAATAATATATGCCCACAATTTAATTATATGATTTCTTACAGTGACATGTAATCCCCCTAAGTATAAGGGATTTCTGTCCAGACTCGCCATCTAGTGTATGACGAAGCAGTAAAAGTCAGAAACACAGCTTGATTTATGTATATTTTAAATAAAACCCAAAATAAACCACTGAATAATTAAGATTAAGTAACATTTTATTTTTTCAAAGTTGAGCTTATTTTAATGCATTATTTACTGTAAGGAGATTACCTTTTCTAAAAACGGAATCTGCTGTCAGCTGTCAAATAAATGGAGTTCAGTAAAGATAGTTCCCTCTGAAATGTAATAGGAAATAGAAAAGATGATCCACATGCGTAATTCAGTACTTTGAATGGGTCTACCAATAACAATTTATTCTTCAATTTGGTAATATGAAGCAGATTAAAGGCAAACTGCAGAGATATCCACAAATCACTTGGACTCTTTTTAAAAATAATTCTCATTGAATTAAGAAGTGTACATTAGTTATGCCTAGTAGTGGGGCAAGAGCAAATGGGGTTAAATTCACGTCGTAAAATAATTGACAGAACAGAAGAGATATTAAACACAGGGCTCCTTGGACCATTTTATTGACTAAATTACATTTTTAAAACAATGTCAAACAATATTCAGGAATGTTTACAGATGTGAATTAGCATAACATCAACTCCTTTCTTGAAATGGTCATTCCCATGCTAAGGTGAGACTCACTGTGTTAACTGTTTAGAGGAGATTGTGGCAGGACAGGATGAAGATCAAGACGTTTTGTAGAGGCACGGAGCAGCTTTATTCACACTGAAGTGATTTGGATTTGGTCATCAGGCCCCTCCTCCGACCGTGACCCTTGACCTCAACCCCATTAATGTCCACTGGCTGCTGAGTTGATTTGCTAGATTGAGTCGGTAAAGTGTCACAGAGAGAACATCTCAGCGGTCCAGCGAACGTTTCTGGATTGCTTCGGCAACCACGGTGCGCAGGAGAGAGATGACAGATCGAGGGTCGTCGCTGCCTATCACAGCGCTGCCTGACACGATCATGTTGGCTCCTGCCTGGAGGTAACACAATCATATACTCAGAGTAAAAAGAGAGGTGTGTTTTTATGTTTTTATTTTATTAAAGTGATATGTATGCTCGTATTCCTTACCTCTGCACACTTGTGAATGGTGTCCGGGCCAACCCCTCCATCTACTTCTATGTCTAGTGAAGGAAACTGACTCCGCAACCAGCTCACCTGGACACATGCACACAAATAGAACAATGAGCTAAAAACATAAAGCTTAAAACTAAACTCTACAACACAAGTTTCAGATGTAATAAGGACAATAATAAGGTTAAGGACTTTGCAAAAAGTTAAAATCAGCAACATCTTCTGGACTAAATTTGAACACAAGTGAGACAAGACTACTACACTTTAGTGAACAAGTGCTTTTATCTGGGCTGAGAGCAGTTAGAGGCATGTAAAAGCCTAACAGACTTCCCCACTTGTGCTAAAAAGAGAAGGAGAGTGGAAGAGAGCACTTGAACTAACACTCATCTTTATTTAGAACTTATGTAATATAATGTTGTGTACTTCTGTGGTTAAGCAGACACTTGTATGGAACTTGTGCCTCACTCTTAAAGTGAAACTTTACTTACTACTGATCTCTCTCCCTTAAGAACAACTGTTTAAGATGCAATGGAGGGAGCATGCATCCGTGAGAGCAGTGGCTCAAAGAGAATTGGACAGTAGTTTATTTATATTTCACAAAAATGTCAACTTGTTTTGTGTTTTCTTCCTAATGTGATACCATGCCTCTCATAACTAACCAGAGAATGCAATTCCTGAAGAAATTGCTAGTGGGAATGCTTTATGCTGAAAAGCTGACGCTGAATTGCTATGCTGAAATGTAATGTGTAAGAAGAAAGTAAAGAATTTAGATTGAAATGATACATGAACACTGGGGGCTTGAATGTGCGATGAGAGAAGAAAAGAAAGTAAAAAGGCTTGGAAAAGCAGCAGAATATTTGAACTGCAAACTTTTGAACTAACTTGATGGCGAATGATCTGTCGCCATGGCAATGGCAGTGGATGAGACCCCATAATACACTTAGATGCGTTGATGGCTGCATCGTTACCAAACCTGTGAGGTTTTGGGCCATTTCGAGCATTTGAACTGAAGTTGTGAGAAAACCGTGTTTCATGGTGAGCATTGTGTTTTCAAGGCAACGGCATTTGAAGAAATCTTAAAACTGTCAAATAGATGTCTTCACAGCAGGGTTGCGTTCGAATAGTCCATTTAGCTTAGGAACCTTCCTACTGCCAAGGCACAC